GCTGTATTCTGTTCTATCCTCAGAGCTAACAGGTCGGGGAAGCCAGTCCATCCTGCAACCTCACCTCTAGGGCAGGTGGCTTAGAATCCTACACTGGGTGAAAAAGCTCTTTGGGCACCAACGCTTTATGGGATAATCGCAACCAAGAGAGGAAGGCTTTCTCCCTCAGCCCCTCTCCAGAAAGCTGGGGTATTTTCCACCCTCCCAAGCACAACCTACAGTGAATGGCTGTTGGATCCTAACCCATTAATAACTGGTTGTCTGCAGATTTATCTTTTTTGTCAGTTCCTTCTGTCTGTCTCTCTTTTTCTTTGTCTTCTTGTCTTAGGATGGTTGAAGATGTGATGTCTGTATGTTCTCTGTTGTAAGTAAATTTAATGGAATCTGCCTCTTCTGCTAAATGTGCTTTTTTTCCCCGCCTTTTGTTTTTGCTTCCAAGCTCTTTTTCTTTTCTCTCCATGGCTGCTGCTTCATATTTCCGTGGCGGGGCCTGGGAGTGATGGGGCATGGGGCTTCCCAGTAGCAGAGGTTATTTTCCTGTTTCATAGTGATTAGTGTTAAGTGAAACTGCTTGGCTGTGAAAACGTGATTATCCAACATCTGCCTGCTTGTCAGGAATGGAACTTTTCTTTCCCCATCACATATTGGATGTCTTCATCTGAAACCCATACATTGTTGTTGTTGTTTTTAACTCTCATTCCATTCTTTCATTTTAAATTGAACTAGTGGGCGATTGCTTTCAAAATACTGTGGCTTCCCATGAAAATAACCATCCAGTCCCACCACAGGCAGTGACTGCTGTCACTTGTTCTTCTAACATGTGAAGCAGAAGTGTCTGGGCTGTTCTACATTGAGACCTGCAGGAGCCTCCTGAAATGCAGGGTTGGCTCAGAGTTGGAGCACACGGCTGTGCGAGCTCTCACCAGGCTGCCCTGGGCCTGCGTCCTTGGTCACCCAGGACCAGGCTGTGTATCCGCATGTCCTCTGTGGAACACCCTGCTGGATGTTGGTGGGAACAGTGTAGACCACCTCTGTACCTCTACTGCTTCGCTTCCCTGGCCAGGAGGGATCATTTGGGCAGCTCCCAGGGGCCCAAGGACAAGCACTTTCACTGCCTCCCCGTTCTTAAAGGGAAGCTGGCCTGGTCCCAGGCATCCAGCAGCCCCAGGAGAGGGCTGAGTCTCTCAGGCTCTCTTCTGCCCAAGGGATTTCTTTAGTATTTTAGAGCCATTTAGCAACTTTAAAAATATACAGTTAATATATTTATATGCATGAATAAATATATGCTTCAAGCTGTGATTGCACTGTTCATATGGCAAATGTCATAAGTGCTGTAAATAACCATTTATAGTATTTTTTTCATGACTGAATGCCATTGTTGGAGCATTTGAGAGAACACAAGGAAGGAACTTGAGTGCCAAATTGCTCTGTCCATCCAGTTCATGTGTAGAGCAGGGGAGGGGGGCGGGATCTCAGGTAAGGGACTCCCCCTTGTTTTGCTGGGGGCAGGACCATACCACACAGGGGCCTGAGTCCCGGAGGCAGGGGCCATGCTGTAGGTGGGGCAGCCTCCATTCTGACCATGGAAATGACCCCTGATCTCCCAAGGGACTAATGGAGCCGTCTATGCTGAAAGTCCTTCCCTTCTGACCCCCTTCGGGAGCCTGATCTGATGTTTGCTTGGCCTCACGTCCTCACAGCCCCCAATTACTTATATGAAGGAGGAAGAAAGGGCGAAAAGAGATGTGAATCTTGCCTGTTAATCATGGTTAGGGAAAGACTTAAAAAATCATCTTATCCCTGAAAAGAGTTCTGGAGATTGGGTGTCAGCAGTGTGAATATACTTAACACTACTGAACTGTACACTGAAAAATGTTTAAGATGGTAAATTTTATGTTACGTGTATTCTTTACCAAACTTAGAAAAAAAAAAATCATCTCACCTAGAAGCTCAGAGGTTAGGAATCCGTGAAGCTCCGCGTGCCTGTGAATAGAAAGGAACCTTCCACTTCTGTTCGAGACCCAGAACGTTCCTGTGTTTGCACAGCTCTGAGAGCTGTGTATTCCATGGTGTGTCAGCTTGCCTGTCTGTAAATTGGATCCTGTGAATTGGTATCACGAACTCCGGTCCCTTCTCTCCACCTGGGTTGGTTCAATTCCTGGATGAATCGCTGCATTAATCTGCTCACCCAGAATTTGCTTTTTAAAATCAGTAAAAGAAGAACAGCTGGTTAAATTTAGCTTCATTTTTTCTGGGTCAGCTCTCCAAAATGGCATCTCTGTAAAGATTTCCAGCTTGATGAATCTTTCCCGTGGGGGCAACAATAATATCTGTTAGAGCTAGAATGAACTGTCGGTGTGGACGTCTTCCGGTTGATGTTGGCGTGGTGTAGACGGGCGGGTGGTCCAGGCAGAAACTCAGCAGAAGCGGTAGCTTCAGTCTGCTCTGTATGCTCTGGAGTGTTCTGTATCTCTGTTGTGTTTACATTTTCCATTTTGTTTCCAGTGACACATTTAGGGTGAAAAAGTCGCCAAAACGGTCTCCTCTCTCTGATCCACCTTCTCAGGTATACTGTTGCCTTGATATTTATGATTTTATTGCGCACCCGGGAGTGAAGGGTGATGTGGTTTTATTGCCGCGCTAGTCCACCGAGCTTTCCTTCCTGCTTACCATGGGCACGTTCCAACACCCTCTTCTCGCCTCCTACATGGAGGGCCCCTCAGTGTTTGCAAGACACTGTTTTGATCCCATCACCTTGGGGGGAGATCAGCATATGTCCCAAGAATAGGGAGATAGATGTTCAGGAAAAGTGTCAGTTGGACATTTCTAGAGAAATCTATAACAATAGTGCCAGTCCATTCTGACCAGTTAATTTGCTAAGAATGTACATGAATATCAAGTTGAGGAAGTCTGTTGAGATAAGTGAATATGTAGAGGGGAATAAAAGAATATGTGTCAAGAGCGCTGGCGTATGTAACCCAGATCAGAGTGGAGAGAGAGAGGAAATGCATCCCCTGAAGAAATGGGGCTTGGACTCTGCACACGAGCTCCTGTCTCCTTCTTACCAGCTCCT